GACAGTGTCTCCGGAGCGCTCGGCCAGGGATTGTCCCCTCGACAGGATCCTCTTACCCCGGCCTCCTCGGTTTTCTCCTCCTCCGGCGCCCACAGACACCCACAGGGCCCCCAGCTCTGAGAGGCAAGTCTCAGCTGACGGGCGGCGGCGCGACGACACCCCGTGCGCATGCTCTGAACTCGGCCCAGGAAAGGAGGCGGGGCTCTCTTTCCTCCCATTGGCCCCTAGAGCTGAATGACAGCGATTCCACCCCGCCCCCTCTGGTTCCAAGCTAAGCAAAGGAATTACAAGCAAAATGCTGTTCTTTGAAGCTTGACATACAGATAATGAACGGCTGCACGCAGGGAAGAGGAGGAACTACGGAGCAATTACCTTCTTCACTCAGTGAAGCCAACCTCCCTGGGCTGTGTCTTCACCTTGCCTCATCAGTCATGCCTCTAGTGTTTCTTAATCCTCAACTCTGCCATAGACTGTACAGCCACATGCAAAAATACAAACACAAAGACTCAACCCTAGCAAGAACCACGAAGGAATAAGTGAAGAGTTACTTCCAGGTGCTTCCTTGGTAGACAAATTTATGTAGCACATGCAAGTCATTCTAAACATCCTTGAGAGCCGGGGAGATGGCTCAGTAGAATAAGCGATAGCCTGGCAAGCTCAAGGGCCTGAGTTCAATCCCCGGTTCCGCAAATAAAATAAAATAAAATAAAATAAACATCCTTGAAACACAAGGTATAGTTTTACAGCGTTTGAAAATGAGCAGAGAACAAAGAATGTCTCAATAATAACTATTCAAGAATAATGTAATTGCTAGATGAAAAATATCATTTGTTTCTGGTGAAAGCAATATTCTACAAAATGCATTAGAAGATAAAGTGCCTGACCTTTACCTATGTTAGGGCACTATTATTTTCTGAAAGAAGCATCAAGATGTATCAGAAGTCTAACCAGAATATTTTGAACTGATACTACACGTACAAATTGTAGGTGTTTCAGTATTATGCAGGCATGTGTTCATAACTAAGGTGTGGATTATACTCCGCCTCTCCTGGAGTAAGAATTAGAAGGATGGGCGTGCGGGGCCACATGTCGCTCCAAAGTGGTGGGATTCAGCTAGTGCCCTTGTAGACTTTTGGTTTGAATTTTTGCTTTTGCAATGCCGGGGATCAAACCTAGGGCGCCCACATTCTAGGCAAGCATCGTATTACTGAAGCATATCCCTGGCCTCCACAGTAGACTGTTAGGAATATTGGCTGAAAACAGTCAAATTATCTTTGTTTTTTGTTTGTTTGCTTTTGGGTTTTTGAGACAGAGTCTTGCTATGTAGTCCAGAATGGCCTTGAACTCACTATATAGCACAGGCTGGCCTCCTCCCACCTCAGCCTTCCAAGTGCTGGGATTACAGGCACACACTATCATGCTCAGCTTGTTTGCTTTCAATGTACTAGAAATTCAGATTTTTATGTGAAAGCGCTCCTTTCTTATATGTTAAAAAGTTTGCAATCAGTCACAATATAAAGTTCACTTTATAACAGGTAGCAGTGGTGATCATTAAAGACAAAGATCTCCCTGCCAAAAATCTAGTTCATTTTCTTTTTCACAGATTAAAAAAACTGAAACGCCAAAAATATTGCAAAGTCAGAAAGATAATTGTAAGGAGAAGCAAATAATCCAAGTGTCCTAACTCATAATCTACAATACTTTCCTATAGTATCATTCATTCGACCAGCGTTTGTTGGTACTGTGCCACACACTGCAGGTATCATGGTGAGTAAGATACAATATTTCTCATCAAAGAGTTCAAGGATCAGTGTCCTTTTCAGGAGATTGAATAAAGGTTTATGTAAAGCATAGTGAAAGACCAGAGCCAGAGGTGTCTTCCTTGGAGGTACTAGAAAATTCCAAGAGGAAGTATAAACAGAATGTTGAAAGACATATCAGAGTTCACTGGAAAGCAAAATGAGAAAGGACATTTTAGACATTAAAAGTTGTAAAGTTTTATAATACCACATACAGGTGTGAATTTTTAGGCATCACTTTATAAATTTGTTTAGAGAGGGTGTAGTGTGTGGATTGGAGACACAAGAGACTGGAAAGACAAGTAGGGTTAGTAGAGTTTGTATAGCAAAAAATTTCTACATTACATTAAATGACCGTTTAATAGGGGTTGAAACATTGAAGGATTTTAAACAAAGATATACAGTACTCAAAATTCCATAGCATGAAAAATATGAGGAAAGTGGAGGAAATGACACTGAGAATAAAGGAAGAAAGACATCACTCAGGGCCATTGTGATAGTAGTACCCCTCAAGAAAGCCTCTACCAGTATGAAAGGTTTTGGAGGACTGCACTAAGGTAAATTCCATGGAGAAGAAAAGGCAAAGCAACTGGATATAGAGAATCAAAGAGGTGATGCCTCGTAGTGTAACTTATTCAAGTGAACTGAACATAATGGAGGGCTCTGAGATCTCAGATTGCTAATAAATCACGTGCAGCTTGAGAATAAATGTGGTAAAGGGAGGGAGCAAAATGATGATAAATTTAGCATTGGACATGTTGTTTTGGAAATACATTGGTATACTAAATGTCCATATTTACAATGTCAGTATGCTTCTGCAACTTGAAAATGTGAGGAGTTCAAGATTGGTTGGAGGTCTAGGAAGAGGTGAGTTAACTCTAAGAATGAAATGTTTTGGATTATTTGTGTTTAAACATTGGGAAGAGAAAAAACAATCCTGAAAAGGAAAAGTCAGAGCAACAGGAAATAAGTAAGACAGGAGAAAATGAACTACAAGATAAAAAAAAAGTTCAAAAAGAGTGAATAGTCTATCACATTACTTGTCACAGAAAGTTCAAGAAAATTAAGACCTGAAAAACTGTACATTGGATGTGAAAATTAGGAAGTGGCTGCTGAAGTCAGGAAGAAGCACTTCAGCAATTCAATGAGCTATAACACTAAGAACATATCTGTGTGAAGAACTTACATCTGTATTTTCCAAACATCCTATCATATTACTTTTCCTAGAGCCATTCACAGTTGGAAAGGGAACATAGGATGCCCTATCAAAGACCTTAAGGCCTGGTATCCTCTTTGGGTTTCCTTACTACTTGCTGATTATACTAAAACCAAAGCCAATTGGTAATCCTGCTCCTGAATTTGTTCTAAGTTGTATTTTAAATTATGTTATAAATGGATTCCTTCAAAAGGTGATAACCTTTTGAAAACTTAAGAGTAGTATTTCACCCTTTGTATTCAAGTGTGTGTGTGTGTGTGTGTGTGTGTGAGTGTGTGACAGAGAGAGAAAGAGAGAGAGAGAAAGAGAGAGAGAGACAGAGACAGAGACAGAGAGTGAGAGATACACAGAGAGAGAGAGGGTTTAAATCTAAAGGGACTTCCCAATGCCTCATGTGTTTGGAAGGTGACTAGATCACAGGATGCTATATTCATCAGTAGATTTACTCCCTGATAAATTCAGTAACTGAATGTGCTGTTAGGAAGTGGGGCCTGCCTGGAGGTGGGGCTGCGACCTGGAGAGGTATATTCTGTTCCAGGGTCCTCTCTTCTTCCTGGCTACCATGGTAAGAGCAGATTTCCTCAGCCATGCCCCTCTGTCATGCATTAGAGTCAACCAACCATGGGCTGAAACTACAAGCCAAAGTAAACCTCTTCTCTTTTAACTTACAGGTGTCAGGTATCTTGTCCCAGTGACGGGAAAGTTGACCAACATATAGTTTAGCACCATGAAATACAGAGGCATAGAGGATAAAAGGATTCCTAAGAGTTCTTGACATTTAGAGTACTCCATTGCAGCACATGCCTGTTGGTTAGTGACACTCAGACAGGTGACTTGAACACAGTAGGTTAATGATTTGGCTAAATGAACAAATGATTAAATATAGAAGTTTTCAAATCAACCAATGATGTTACCTCTTTCAAAACAAATCCTTTGCATTTGAAGGGTAAAGTGGCTATGGCTAAGGAGTGTAATTTGGATTTTTCAGTGCTACTCATGTTTGGTATTTGGGCCTTTTAGAAAGATTTTGAGCAGCAATCAAAAGTTATTGAGTAGAAATTGTTGCTAGCATATTGATCTTCTTCTTAATATAAAATGTTGCTACCTCAATTCTTCCATGTAGTGGATTAAAGCGCCTGCAAGCAGGCGCAGGGGCTGGGGGGTTCGATCCCCAGGCCTGCCTTACTGGCCCCACCCTCGGGGTGCCCTGAGATGGTAATTGAGACTGGGTGTGGTGGCCCAGGCCTGTAATCCCAGCACTTGGGAGGCTGTAAGCAGGAGAATCACTAGGAGTCTGATCTAGTAGTGAGACCTCGAACACCCTGTGGACACTTCCCTAAAAAAATACAAAAAAATAAAAATAAAAAATTCTTCCATGTAGTATGGGAAACTCTACTGCATTACCACTAGTGTCTAAAGGAGCAGTTTTACTGAATGGAAGGAAATGGTTTAATAGTCACTGAATGGAGAGAAAAAGAAAGAATTTTTTCAATAGCCATTATGTAATTTTGGGGAAAATCTAGAGAAGTAAAAATCACATAAATAAGAAAGTTTCTTTTCTTTTCTCCTTATCTTTTTCTTTTTTCTTTCTTTCTTTCTTACTTTTTTTTTTTTGGTATTCAGTACAGAGTCTACAGGGTCTCAGTACACAGATCAGACTCGTAGTGATTCTCCTGTTTTCAGCCTCCCAAGTGCTGAGATTATAGGCGCCCACCACCACGTCCAGTCTCATTCGCTGTCTCAGCACTTCTCAGGGATGGGGCTGGCACAGCACACTGGGGATAGAACCCAGCCACTGTGCTCAGCTTAAGCAGGCGCTTTAGTCTGCTGGACTATCTGGCTGGCCTTCTTTGTCACTTTCTTTATTTCTTTTCTTGTTTATTGAGAGAGTGATCAGTATGTTTGTACCAGTATAGTTTCTGTTTCTATAACAAACTATGAGACTGAACAATTTGTAAATAAACCACGTTTACTTTGGCTTATGATCGTGGAGTCTGGAAAGGCCCCAGCATGGCCCTAGCATCTACTTGGACTCTAGAGAAAGTCCCGAGCTGCGTCATTAGCATGGTGGAAAGCATTGCATGGCAAGGTGGAGCAAGTGTGGCAGCTCTTCCTTTAAAGTTATTAATGCTGTCCTAGGGTGGAAACCC